CTTTCCCCCGACCTCCCCCCTCCCCCCTCCAGAGATCTGCAGAATTGGACTCGTCCAAGAGCTCTGATGATAGGCCTAATAATTAATGAGAACGTGTAGACTCTAGTTCTTCAAGCGTCAAATAACTTAGAAACAGTTTCTGATGTTTTTGGAAAAATGTACACACTGCATGCACCCTAGCATGAAATTCTGATTTATCGACAGCGATGCAATATATTGTATATATATAGTATATTACACATGTATGTATTATATCAAGGACCTTTCAACAAAAATGGACCCTCTTCTCCCTCTTCGCGGCACCGCGCGTAGCATGCACGCCCAGTGCACAGTGGAAAATCCAAAATGGCGCCAACCATGGTCACCCAGCGCGAACTGTGTGTTTTTTCTTTACAAAGGATTATAGTAGGGCTGGGCAGTGGGCTACGGTATTAGTCTAGTAACATTTTGGTTTGACCTTGAAGAAATTGCTTTAAAGCTGTCTTTTGGGAAATAAGTAGATGGCACCAGTCTATAAAAGATTATGAAGAATCGAGGAGAATTGAAAGGCGCATTTTTTCAAAAAATAAAAATAAAAAAGTTGCGAAATTCGTTTTTCAAATTCCGTTATTTTTGGCAACTTTCCCCTGCCATACACTGATCCTGCACTTGCCCGCGAACTTCCTCATTTCTGAGCGCATCGAAAAAATGGCAGCCGAGGCGACGGCAGAGTCAAGCCGGTTTAGTATGGCAAACTGGTAATACATGTAAGACAAACGCGCCATTCCCGCATGGCTTCATGTGTACAACAATTATTACCTTTTATCTTGTCTTACGGCAATAACTGTAGGCCTATTATAATAGGCTTCGAATTCTTTTAGTGCGCATGGTTAGATTGTACACGTTCAGTTTGCCCCCCCCCCCCCAACCCCCATGTTTTCATTGGCAACTAGTAGTGACTGTCCTATCAAAATAGCAAAGCAGAAGTAGGGCTAGTATTAGAGTTTCACTTGACGATTTTAATGCCATCATGTTATTATTTTTTGGAGCAAGAAAAACATTCCTGTATCATCTGTGGAGAGGGGTTTGATGCCAGGCCAGTTACACTCACAGGAATGGGGAGCAAAACCTTCAACAGCATGAGTGCAAAATTTGGAGAAGCTGTGTTTGCAAAGTCAGGTGACAATGTCCTTAAGGCCTGTAGAGATCGCCACACTAACAGACATTATTTTCCATCAAGGGATCCAAAACTTGCAAAGTCACCTCGAAAACATCGTGCACCAGAACAAGTCCGAGAACCTGGAAAAATCCCTTTGTGTTTGTTTTGCGATCAAAAGGCGAAAAGAGGCAAGAAAGGCAGAAGCGGTCATCCTCTGATTTATGTACAGACAACGCAATTTCAGGACTCTGTTCTGCATTTTGCAAGAAGAGGGGTGAAACAGACAGATGGTCAAGAGAGGTAACAGGCAAGAGAGAGTACATGCAAGATCTTTTTGCTCGTGAGCGCAAGGTGAATGCCGCCCCATTGTTTATAAACATGACGGTTGAAGATCAGCTGTCTGCGGCCAGTTGCAATCTGGATAAAACCTTCGGCTTCCACAATCAGAACTCCACAGTGTGGGTGAATCCAGCGTGCCGTGCCAACTTCATCAATACGCTACCAGCACCACAACGGTAAACGTGAGCAGCTGGAACTACAAGTACGCCACCAAGCTTCTCCCCTCCGCCTCCTGCATCTACTCCATGAAGTGGCCAAGCAACAGTCCACGGCCCCGTGTACTTTCAGAGCAACTTTTGGATTTATGGCCAATGCCATGTGGGTCAGCGATGGCTGCACAGCCGACTTCACCGTCAGTTATTATACCGTTTAAGTTTTATTAAATGCTGACATATTATGCTGTCGTATTCGATTGACAAGTTTGGTCGAATTAAAAGTTAATCGGAAAAAATTGAAAAAAGAAGGTACTCTATAATACGTATTTATACTGACAGTTTGGTAAGAATAGTAATTTTACTTGTGTGTTCGCCGAAGCCTACTCTTATCGATTTTAAAACCACTAAGGAATCTTTAACGATCGCAACTAACACATTGGACTTCCTAGATTTTTCGCCTTTATCTGAGTAGGCAAGGATCAGGGGATTGTGTGAAAGGCATGAGTTAGAAAGAACCAAGAGTACAGTAGAAAAATCCAGATGTAAAAGAGAGAGAAGCTCAGAGGAGGCTGGAGGTTGGGGGGTGGGGGGTGGGGAGGAGTGCGGAGATGAAAGCAAGTGACGGAACAGGAAAGGAAGGGAAAGGAAAAATATTAAGAGAAGAAAATTTTTCGTCGTTTTCCGATTTCGAACCAGGAACCTATTGAATTAAAGGCAAACATCGTATCCGTAGAACACGAAAGTCTCTTACATTTTCATTCATTCCTGCATTAATTATCTGATGAAAACTCCACCAATGAGTAAGAAAGAAGCAGCACTTTAAAAAAAGGTTTTTATTGCTGTTGCTATTGTTGCAGTTGTTGTTGTT